ATGAAAAATTTCCAGAATGACATAAATCCATCTTCTGGTATTAAACGTTTTTAAGACTAAAGGCTTTTGTAACATAAAAAAACGATAATGCTTTTCATGATTAAACAATAGGGTGTCCCTATGCTCCAAAAAGCCAGTTTTCCATGACAAGAAATCAGCTGAAAAGTTTATTTTCGGGTCCTAAAAAAAAACAGGAAAGTTGTCACCAAGTCAGAATCCGCGAATTTGAAATATGTAGCGATAAATCATACGAAGTTTAGTTGAAATTTACCTAAGACTTTCAGTTATAGTCGAAAGAAGTATCTTAGCAACCAGAGAACGTAGAAATTGTTTACACTATTATCGGAATCACGCCGTCAACTCATGATGCCGTCAGAAATTTAGTCCACGAGTGGAAATTCTTCAGAACTTATATAACTCGCCTGTTTTCAACTAAATTCCTCTACAGATGACAAAGCATATGAAATGTCATAAGACCAATATATCATATTGGAATTTGTTATATGTTGCATTACGTATTACTTCCGGTCAAAACTTCAGAGGAGTACACCCTAAAGGTGCTTAGAGAATAAACAGAAACTGTGCTGATATGTAAGGTTTATATAACCAAGATATGAGCGGGTTGTATTGATAATTTTCCAGACGTAGAAACTAATAATGAAAACGACTTCGGATATGGCTAACTGGAGTGACAGTATTGACAATTGTTTTCTGCATATGCAGAAAAAAAAACTCCTTATTGTTTCATTAGTGACACTGACCCAAATGCCAAAATGAAAACTTTTAAGTATAGATTAGGAATGACCAAGTGCTAGGACAAAAGGCTAAGTCAGTGGGTTCGTCCTCATTTCATAAATAGACGGTTTAACCTTGTGAGCAACAAATTGTTCCCATAAAGGACGATTCAATGATAGCTAGAGTCTAGCCCTAACCTCCCACATCTGGCTATCTCTCTAGGGAAAATACTAAAACTAGTGTTGTCTTTATTGCTCCTTGCGGCTCGATCGAACGTATATACAGAACTGGGGCGGATTCATAGACGTTTCGGCATTATGCCCCAACTTTGATTCATAACGCCCGAATTTACCAGCCATTAAGCCCCAAAGTCATTACCATTTCGGCCCAAAATTTCCAATAGGTTTTTCAAGATAGCAACTATTTGGATTTCGGACCGACCCAAAAAATAGCATCTCTCATTGAGGACCATCTCAGTGTCTTTTCAGACAAGTTATAGCTAAATTCCTATGGTGCAACTTGAGTAGAAGTTTGAAAAATGTGTTGTTCAGCTAAATCTGAATTCCGCAAACATATTACAAAATGGCTGCCATACTGATATTCCAACGAAATATACTAAACACTTTGAAAGCTTCCGTTTTTTCATCGGAGCAACGCGTATCGCTCAGGATCATCTCACGATCATCTCGGGATATCTCACGATCACCTCGGGATCATCTCACGATCATCTCGGGATATCTCACGATCAACTCGGGATCATCTCACGATCATCTCGGGATATCTCACGATCACCTCGGGATCATCTCACGATCACCTTGGGATCATCTCACGATCACCTCGGGATCATCTCACGATCATCTCGGGATCATCTCACTATCATCTCGGGATCATCTCACTATCACCTCGGGATCATCTCACGATCATCTCGGGATCATCTCACTATCATCTCGGGATCATCTCACTATCACCTCGGGATCATCTCACGATCACCTCGGGATCATCACACGATCACCGCGGGATCATCTCACGATCACCTCGGGATCATCTCACGATCATTTCGGGATCATCTCACGATCACCTTGGGATCATCACACGATCACCTCGGGATCATCTCTCTCAATCACACTGCTGGATCCTGAGAAGTTTAAAATGTAAGAAAAAAAGTATAAGCATGTCGTACGGCGCTACTTGTTTGTAATAACCTGTGTTTGGGATAAGTAACTCATCTGTAATAATTTATATTTAGGCTACGTAACCCGTTTGTAATATTTAATATTTGGGATAAGTAATTCATTTGTAATAATCTGTCCTTGGGATCAGTAGTTCGTTTGCTGTGTCGCCTGCAGAGCTGGCGGACACTTAGGGATCACTTTGTCCGTCGTCATGCGTCGGCGGCGTCCGTACGAAAGTTTCCCGGACCTTTTTCGGTTATGCTTTGAGTTATCAAAAGGAAATTTAGTATGTGGCTTCTTGTTGGAAGGCTGACTGTGACCATTCTTGGCAGTGATATGTCCCTTTGAACTTAGAAAATTTCTCAGGATTATTGCTTTGCGCAGTTTGCCATAACATCGTGTAACGTTCATGTTGCTTTCTTAGACAGCAACAAAGCGTTCGACACTGTCTAGCACGCTGGGTTGCTATATGAATAATGCATTTAATATTTATAAACGATTTACTTAATGAAATAGAGAATTCCGGCTTAGGTGCAGTAATTGTAGATTTAAATGTCAATGTTCCTACACAAGTAGATGACATCTGTCTGGTAAGTACAAGTTCTACAAGTCTTCAGAAAATTATATCTTTATGTGAAAATTATAGTAGAAAATGGCGATTTTCTTTTTCTGCTTTTAAAAAAGCAAACTTGTAACTTTCACAAACCCAAATAATAGAACTTGCATTGTGTACAATCATCATTATCTTTATGACTGTATTATGCCACAGGTTCACGAAATCACTCATGTGGGTATTTTATTAAATTCTAAACGGTACTCTATTGAGAGAACAACACGTGCGTGCAATAAATTAAGATCAGACACGATGGCACTTATTCGTTCTGGGGCTCATCTTTGTGCTCTTAACCCCCTTACAGTAGCAAAATTAATAAAACTTAAGGTGTATCCATCCGCCCTATATGGATGTGAGCTCTGGAATTTAACAAAAACTTATCAGAGTCAGAGCACAACATCTCGTCGTTAAATCTAAACAGGGGTTTGAAAAAAGAATAAGAACGGATTTGTGTACATCTACTTGGTTGGCCTCTATTGAGGCATTTATTGATATTAAAAATTATTATATTTTGGTAGATTTTGTAGAATGAATACAATGTCGCTAGTTTATATTTTTTTTATTACAAGAATCTTTTCGTTTGAATTAGGTAGACCGTACCAACAGGGATTTATTCCTGACATAGTAAGGATACTGAGAAAATATTCATTGTATCACTATCTCAGCGATTTTATTGAAACTGGAGTATTTCCAAAGAAATGTACTTGGAAATTTATTTTGTATACTTGTGTAATGAAATATGAAGAACATAATTTAATTGAACGTATGAAAGATGATACTAATTTCTCAAGATTCGTTGAAACACATAACCAGCTTAAAGCTAACGTCTTATGGAAATTAGCGCTCCAGTTTCCCCAATACAGGGAAAATATACAATATATAATGAAAATAGTAGTAACTATTCGAAACTTGACGACAATGGAATTATGTCATAAATGTGGGTTTCTATATCATGACCCAATAACACATTTAGTGCTACAGTGTAACTATACTTTCCGAGTTGAGAGATCAACTATGGTGCTGTATAATCAATGTCAAGGATATACTGTTTAGTGTATATTTACACTCCCTATCAGACTCCAAAATGCTACATATATTGATTGGAGGAAAGAATAACCACAATATTAGCGAAGAAGAGTTGATTGATTTTAGATTAATATCAATCACGTATGTTTACAAAATGTGCAAATATTACTATACCTAATGTATGAATCAATTATATTAATTATGTTATAAATGAAGATATGTTGTATGTGTATGACATATTTACATAATTTTGTGTAAATTTGTGGGCCTGTAACACCTTGCTGGTAGGGGGGCTCCCCAACCCTTGTGTGATACGGGTCTACACATTTATCCTTCTAGTGCATACCTTACACATTATTGTATTACACAAGTATATTAATACTTATTTATTATTATGCTGCCCATATCATATGTCTCAAAGTGAATCCTAATTCATGTGACATACACTTGACATGTGGAATTAAAACTATAACTTACTATGTATATGTAAACTTTTCCGCATATACTCTATCAGGGTCGTAGCTTCCATAGAAAGAAAAAGGCTTACACATAAAAAAACGTGCATAGAGTATATCGGACAAAATTACAAAAGTAAGGTTGAAAATAGATATCAGGAGTTGAAGTTTGTTGTTAAATAATTAAAAAAAACTGTCTCAGAAAATGATTCAAAACATTTTTGAAATCATGAAATTCATGACCCTTCGCCTGGGCTTTCTCATTTTTGCTGGGCTTGCTAAGCTCCTCTCTATGCTATTCTATTAATTTGATGTTTCACGTGCATATGCAACTATATATACATGTATATTCTATTTATAATGTATTTATGTTACCAAATGTTTTGTACCATGTTATATGCTCTCTGCACTCTTCATTTTGGAGGCAATAAAGAGAATAATAATAGTATTCTTGGTTCGTGTTTTTTTATGACACTTTTTATAAACTTCCAAAACAGATCAGGTAATTAGTTCACTAAACAATGTAACAGACTGAGATATGTTACAGAGTTAGATATGTTACAGAGTTAGATATATTCTAAGTCAAAGATAATATTAATTATTTGTGAAAAAAATGCATTAAATAAACCATTAATTGTTTTTGAAACATTTTAAGAACAAACAAATGGAATACATGTACATCCATGTATACCTTTAGAAATTTCACCGGCGGAAATTTTGTGTAAAATTTCTATTGTTTGGAAGAAAAAGTCGGCGAGGAAGTAGAAATCCGAACTTACAAAGTTAAATAGTCAGGTAAAAAGTATCCAAAATACACGATCGTTTCATATAAAAACTTAAGCATGCAAACAAGCACGTGAGCTACCTCATTGGCTGCAATAAGTTCAAGATCGCACGTTCCATCGAGCCGCCTTGATCAAGAACGACAACTCTAGTATTTGCCCTGAAAGATTATAATTAGCGGCTGTGAGATGGCCTAGACAACGGAACACGGCCGATGACACACTTAACGTGAACTAGAACTGCTGAATATCATAAAATTAAGTCAAGGATCTGGTTTAAGACTACATTACAGTTTCCTCAAGGTATTTATGTAAATACTAAGTCATGCCATGCGTTCGTATGTCCTTTCCCACTGTAAAGTGAAAGTAAGACTTAGATAAGGCATACATTTACATTTCTAGTCCAGGCCAGCCCACTTGATCAATTGATAATGATAGATGTAAATTAGTTCGCTAACATATTCTAGATTTACATTTATTTTCATGTATTAATGAGATTTCTGATATATTCGGATTAAGCACTGGAAAAAACAATACATTCGCAAAAAAAAAAAAAAAAAAATGTCGATGATTCTTTTGCATAAATGGAAGTTTAGACATATGTAGTACAATCACACTCAGTCAGCTGATGGAGTAGGCTTTACTTCCGGTCAGTTGGTAACCCCATGGATTTTCACGCTAGAGACCAGCACCATTTCCTTCATCTGTTCTAATAGTTGCACACAATATTTAAATTAGAATGGCTGTTTATTAGGATGAACCTACTGTGGTTGAAATTTCCTCTTTGTAATAATGCCTCAATTCTGAATTGTCCATCATTGAATTTAATTGATGTTTTCAAACTGGCCTGAAGTATATGTTTTTCTGTTGTCTTTGCATAATTATCAGGTGCAAAATTTCTCAGAAACTTTCTGAATCATGTACGTTTGCTTTAGATTTGGTGCCTTAAATCAAATCCTTTGAGTGGAAGTCTTCAATTGAAAAGAAGGAAATCTCAAGAAAAACAAAGACTTGATATCGTGTAAAATAAACTTGGAGCTTTTAGCAGTCATTGATTTTTTTTTAACTCCTAAAATTTTACTTTTGACTCACAAGTATAAAAGACTGCATCATTAAGATGACATGTGTTTGCCCACGAAATCCGTCAGAAGTTTTATATGTCAATTTCTTAAGTTTTTTTTTATGTCAATGGTGAACTGAAAGTTCTGTATTATCTAAACGCGGACTTTGTATATATGTCTGGTATTCATAGTTCAATACCAGATGACAGGCAGGGGTATATAATCACTCTAAGGTTACATCACTTTGTCTTCAACAATACTTCAGACCTACATAGATTACTCCCACATACAGCGTTCATAGTTTACACGATGAGATACTTGTGACAGCATGATACAACAATGTCAGATAAAAAACGGTTTCACCGTGGCCTCATTTGTCAAACAGATAACCTTCAGATCTAGATATGGATTTGAAGTAGCTGATTAGTATATACATGCAGTATATTTATAGTAACAGTATTAGGTCTATGACAGAATGCAACCGATGACCTGGTGGTAATTTATGCTGTAAAATTAGTGACTTTCATGTCAACAAATTTTATCATATATATAAACAAAATATATAACAAGGGATCAGATAACAGGCACAGCCTTTATAAATCTTCTCCATGGTGGCGATAGCTAGTTAAGGAATTTTAAAAGAAGAAAACTTTCGAAAACTTGCATACTATAAATACATCCATACTTACAACATTTAACCTTACGGCTTACTATTGTTACTCATCTATACCAATTCACAATCTAAGTACTAGCAACTATCAATATGATTTTAAAAATTAATGAAAACTTGATAATAGATATTGAAGTATAAATGATATTACATTAGAAAATTAAGAACATTAGATATAAAGTGCACAAATGTAACAAGTCTTTAGATTAACATCCTAAACATTTACTTTCTTCAATAAAATAAAATGAATGTTTTCAAGGGAGAAATTAATATATCCAGATGTGGGTAGTTGAACGTTAAGATAGCCAGTTCTTGTATAGATATTATGGATTGAGTTTCTGGAAGTGGAATAATTTGGACAGAAGAAAAAAAAATGTATTGAATTTTCAGTAGGATGGCTACAAGCACAGGACAAGTCCGGAGAGAGATAATCTACAATTTTATCATAATTTAAACATTTTGCATTAATTCGAAGTTGGCAAATATTTAATTTTCTAGGACTACAGTGAAAATACGAGATACCTCTTTAACATGGATTCTATCATTATTCAATTTAGATTTAAAAATACTTAATGATGGTGCTAATGTTAATTCTTGGTAAGAAAGTTCCATATTCTCATGACATCAGGAAAAAAGCTATTACCAAACAAATTAGTTCTAAAACTAGGAATGCTGAGTGTTGTCTAAGGTTATGTGGTGGAACAGCATATTTAATTTAGGGTTTGATAACATTATACAAGTAATCAGGTGACACGATTTAGAATTTTATACATTAGGATGTTTATAATGCCTTGAAGATGGTAGTTCAAAACCTTTTTCAGTATATAATTTTTGATGTGATGTTCCACCTCTTAACCCAGTAATTATTTTCAATGCATTGTCGGTAATTTGAACAGATTTGAATCACTTAGCTTCACCGATAATTCAATTATTCCAAACTACATTTACATATTTAAGAATTGGTCTGACAAAGGAACAATATAGAGTACTTAATGCATTTTTGTTGACTTTATAATTTAAGTAGTCTTTGAATATTTACATGCTTTTTCATATATTTCTTGTATATAACTGCTCCATGTTCCTTTAGAATTAAAGGACCTAGATGTTTGTGATGAGTTTGTTCATTTACTTTTTGATTATAAAACAGAAGTGGGGGAAGATTACGATCGTCCTTGGAAACATTTAGTGGATTGACTTATCATCTACAATAACGTAATAATGACGTCACATCTTTATCTACAATAACATTATAGAGATGTCAATATCTATAGCTACACATCAGCACTTACCTGTAATTACTGATATAGCTATACATCACCACTTACCTGTAGGTACTGATATAGCTATACACCACCATTTACCTGTAGGTACTGATATAGCTATACATCACCACTTACCTGTAGGTACTGATATAGCTATACACCACCACTTACCTATAATAACTGATATAGCTATACATCACCACTTACCTGTAGGTACAGATATAGCTACACTTACCGTAGGTACTGATATAGCTATACATCACCACTTACCTGTAGGTACTGATATAGCTATACATCACCACTTACCTGTAGGTACTGATATAGCTTTACACCACCATTTACCTGTAGGTACTGATATAGCTATACACCACCACTTACCTGTAGGTACTGATATAGCTACACTTACCTGTAGGTACAGATATAGCTACACTTACCTGTAGGTACTGATGTAGCTATACATCACCACTTACCTGTAGGTACTGATATAGCTATACATCACCACTTACCTGTAGGTACTGATATAGCTTCACTTACCTGTAGCTACTGATATAGCTTCACTTACCTGTAGCTACTGATATAGCTACACTTACCTGTAGGTACTGATATAGCTACACTTACCTGTAGGTACTGATATAGCTACACTTACCTGTATGTACTGATAGAGCTACACTTACCTGTAGGTACTGATATAGCTATACATTACCACTTACATGTAGCTACTGATATAGCTACACATCACCACTTACTACTGATACTGATATAGCTATACATTACCACTTACCTGTAGGTACTGATATAGCTACACATCACCACTTACCTGTAGGTACTGATATAGCTATACATCACCACTTACCTGTAGGTACTGATATAGCTACACTTACCTGTAGGTACTGATATAGCTACACTTACCTGTAGGTACCGATATAGCTATACATCACCACTTACCTGTAGGTACTGATATAGCTATACATCACCACTTACCTATAGGTACAGATATAGCTACACATCACCACTTACCTGTAGGTACTGATATAGCTATACACCACCACTTACCTGTAATAACTGATATAGCTATACACCACCACTTACCTGTAATAACTGATATAGCTATACATCACCACTTACCTGTAGGTACAGATATAGCGACACTTACCGTAGGTACTGATATAGCTATACACCACCACTTACCTGTAGGTACTGATATAGCTATACATCACCACTTACCTGTAGGTACTGATATAGCTAAACTTACCTGTAGGTACTGATATAGCTACACTTACCTGAAGGTACTGATATAGCTATACATCACCACTTACCTGTAGGTACTGATATAGCTAAACTTACCTGTATGTACTGATATAGCTACACTTACCTGTAGGTACTGATATAGCTACACACCACGACTTACCTGTAGGTACTGATATAGCTATAGCACATCACCACTTACCTGTAGGTACTGATATAGCTACTACATACTGATATAGCCACTTACCTGTAGGTACTGATATAGCTACACATCACCACTTACCTGTAGGTACTGATATAGCTACACTTACCTGTAGGTACTGATATAGCTACACACCATAGCTACACTTACCTGTAGGTACTGATATAGCTACACTTACCTGTGTAGTACTGATATAGCTACACACCATATAGATATATAGCTACACTTACATTACCTACACTTACCTGTAGGTACTGATATAGCTACTCACCACTTACCTGTAGGTACTGATATAGCTATACACACCACTTACCTGTAGGTACTGATATAGCTATACACTTACCTGTAGGTACTGATATAGCTACACTACCTGTAGGTACTATATAGCTATACATCACCACTTACCTGTAGGTACTGATATAGCTAAACTTACCTGTAGGTACTGATATAGCTACACTTACCTGTAGCTACTGATATAGCTACACTTACCTGTAGATACTGATATAGGTACTGATATAGCTACACTTACCTGTACTGATATAGCTACTTACCTGATATAGCTGATATAGCACACACCACGACTTACCTGTAGGTACTGATATAGCTACACTTACCTGTAGGTACTGATATAGCTACACTTACCTGTAGGTACTGATATAGCTACACTTACCTGTAGGTACTGATATAGCTACACTTACCTGTAGGTACTGATATAGCTATACACCACGACTTACCTGTAGGTACTGATATAGCTATACATCACCACTTACCTGTAGGTACTGATATAGCTATACATCACCACTTACCTGTAGGTACTGATATAGCTTCACTTACCTGTAGCTACTGATACTACACTTACCTATAGCTACACATAGCTACTGATATAGCTACACTTACCTGTAGGTACTGATATAGCTACACTTACCTGTAGGTACTGTAGGTACTACTACACTTACCACATGTATACTGATATAGCTATCACCACTTACCTGTAGGTACTGATATAGCTATACATTACCACTTACGTGTAGCTACTGATATAGCTACACATCACCACTTACCTGTAGGTACTGATATAGATACCACTTACCTGTAGGTACTGATATAGCTACACTTACCTGTAGGTACTGATATAGCTACACACCACTTACCTGTAGGTACTGATATAGCTATACATCACCACTTTCCTGTAGTTACTGTTATAGGTTAACTTACGTGTTGTTACAGTTTTAGCTACACATCACCACTTACCTGTAGGTACTGATATAGCTATACACCACCACTTACCTGTAATAACTGATATAGCTATACATCACCACTTACCTGTAGGTACAGATATAGCGACACTTACCGTAGGTACTGATATAGCTATACATCACCACTTACCTGTAGGTACTGATATAGCTAAACTTACCTGTAGGTACTGATATAGCTACACTTACCTGAAGGTACTGATATAGCTATACATCACCACTTACCTGTAGGTACTGATATAGCTAAACTTACCTGTAGGTACTGATATAGCTACACTTACCTGTAGGTACTGATATAGCTACACACCACGACTTACCTGTAGGTACTGATATAGCTATACACCACGACTTACCTGTAGGTACTGATATAGCTATACATTACCACTTACCTGTAATTACTGATATAGCTACACATCACCACTTACCTGTAGTTACTGATATAGCTACACTTACCTGTAGCTACTGATATAGCTACACTTACCTGTAGGTACTGATATAGCTATACGTACCTGTAGGTACTGATATAGCTACACTTACCTGAAGGTACTGATATAGCTACACTTACCTGAAGGTACTGATATAGCTACACTTACCTGTAGTAATTGATATAGCTACACGTACCTGTAGCTACTGATATAGCTATACATCACCACTTACCTGTAGGTACTGATATAGCTTCACTTACCTGTAGCTACTGATATAGCTTCACTTACCTGTAGCTACTGATATAGCTACACTTACCTGTAGGTACTGATATAGCTACACTTACCTGTAGGTACTGATATAGCTACACTTACCTGTAGGTACTGATATAGCTATACATTACCACTTACATGTAGCTACTGATATAGCTACACATCACCACTTACCTGTAGGTACAGATATAGATACACTTACCTGTAGGTACTGATATAGCTACACTTACCTCTAGGTACTGATATAGCTACACTTACCTGTAGGTACTGATATAGCTATACATCACCACTTACCTGTAGGTACTGATATAGCTATACATCACCACTTACCTGTAGGTACTGATATAGCTACACATCACCACTTACCTGTAGGTACTGATATAGCTATACACCACCACTTACCTGTAATAACTGATATAGCTATACATCACCACTTACCTGTAGGTACAGATATAGCTACACTTACCGTAGGTACTGATATAGCTATACATCACCACTTACCTGTAGGTACTGATATAGCTAAACTTACCTGTAGGTACTGATATAGCTACACTTACCTGAAGGTAGTGATATAGCTATACATCACCACTTACCTGTAGGTACTGATATAGCTAAACTTACCTGTAGGTACTGATATAGCTACACTTACCTGTAGGTACTGATATAGCTACACACCACGACTTACCTGTAGGTACTGATATAGCTACACACCATGACTTACCTGTAGGTACTGATATAGCTATACATTACCACTTACCTGTAATTACTGATATAGCTACACATCACCACTTACCTGTAGTTACTGATATAGCTACACTTACCTGTAGGTACTGATATAGCTACACATCACCACTAAAGTAGAGGTACTGTTTAGTCTGATAAAGAAGATTGCAATTTATTAAGGTAGTCATTTTTTGATAATAAGGTCTAAAGTTCCATTATGTTTATATTTGGACTTTAATGAATTACTTCCCTTGTTTGTACTTTCCTGTGCATTCTGTTCTTTTTTTGTCTTCAGTTAGACCTAATCAAATTTGTCATCTGTGGTTTATCACTTAGTCCAATTCTAATTGCTTTGAAAGAGATGTGAGTGTATGTTAGTGATTTTATTTGATCTATAATTAAATTGTTTCATCAACATCATTATTTTCACTAATAATATGTGCTCATTCCTCATTAATTAAATCCCCATCTAGCTTCATTATATTTAAATATATCTGTCTGTAACTACTTTAAAACAAAAATTTAAAACAATTGAGCAATGATCACTACACAATGGAGTCAGTTCTTTAGTACTCTGCACTATATCATCATTATGTACATTAGATATATCAATATACATAGAAGTTGTGAATTATTTTAGTATTCTAGCAAGATGAAAGTTAGATTGTAACGTCAATGTGCCTTGATTAATATAATGACCTCAATTTAATAGAAATTAGAATTTTATGTAGATTTTCAAAAGGAAAAAACTTTCCAACTCCCTTCACAATGGTACAGAAATGGATTAGAGTGTCCAGAGATCCTCTCTTGTTGTATCAGATTTTTCTGTTGTTCAAAGCTACAAAAGAGTTCTGAATTCAGTGGTACATGTAAATACATACATCATTACTTTCATAAATGATTTTTGCTGTATGATGTATCTTTTTATTGCCCAGTGTTATCTCATACATGAAAGACCACAATCAGATTTTGTTATGTGTGCTAATATTATATCACTAAAATTTATGCAGTCCTGATCATAAATCTTCAATGCAGTATCAGGGATTGAAAAGTTATACATGCACAGAATACACAATATGATGAAATGCTGAACACAAACACTGTGTACATGTTTGTCAGGAGTTATGCTTTCTTAGAATATTGAACAGAAATTATGTAACACTTTACACAAAACTGTGTTGATGTTTTCTCATGTTTTAGTCTAGCTGTCAGCATATATGAAGGAAGACATGTCTTCAATAGCCAAAGACTTGACTAGTAGGGTTAAACTTAATGATGGAGTAACCATGCCATTATTTGGTCTTGGCATGTACTTGTCAGGATCGGGACAAGGCGGACAGGCAGAACATGCGGTCATCCACGCTGTGTCTACTGGATACAAACTCTTGGACACTGCCGAGTTTTATGGGTAAGCTGGTAATATGTATGTGTCTGTTCTAGCCTATGTTGTTTACAAGTACATGTAGTAATTAATTCAATATTTAACAACTTTATCAATATCGTGATTTTCGTGCAAAATAAAGACAGCAGAAAGATTTGCTCATATCAAAGGTTTTTAAAAGATGCAGGCTGATGTAGTTTATGTGAAAATTATGGTCATTATAATTATCTCATATTCTATTTACTTGTGTGAAATCAAGTTGCATTAATTTGATGTTCTCATTTACTTTGGGAACATGGCATTACTTGGATTGGTGTCATTGATAATGATAGGAATCTTACCTTCCTGAATCACTCGGTTTTATTCTTCTTGTACTCTCTCACTCTGTTTATTAGTCCCTCTGAAAAAAACACAGTTATTCACCGTGTCCTTGCGTTTTTATGTCTGTCCTTTTTATTATCTAGATCAAGTTCTATCTTCAGCGCTACTTGTCACCTTTGACCTGGGTGAGATAATGTGTAATGCATCAGAAATAGGTCAAATTTGCACAACATTTTGACCTTTGACCTGTCACACATGGAATCAAAAATTTAGGATGAGTTATTGCCCTTTGGGCTTTTTTTTAGTATTTTCTAGAGCTCTCCTTCCTCAAATTTTCACCAATTTTTGCTTTAGTTGGTAGACTTTATAGACATTGCACAAAATTGTGCATTCCTTAAAGACATATTGAAACACTAGGCCAGTGTTTATATCGATAGAGTTGTTTAGGTCTCCTGAGACAAAGACTTCTGGAAAATTTCAGAACCAATTACAATGAAATTTTAAATAAAAAAAAACCTTCCATTGCTAAAGAGCACCAAAAGTGTAAGTTATATAGTCCCCAACCCACAGGGGCCTGAGGAGGCGGGGCCAAAAAGGGCCAAATTGATTGAAACATCAAGAATCTTCTTCTCAAGTCCCAGGTATGGTAGAATCAAGTACTCTCAATGTATGGAAAGGCCTTCTAATACTTCACCAAAATTGCAAATTTTATGATGACAGGTTCTCAAATTCTACCAGGGGAGGGGACAAAATCTACTATAGTTTATAGAGGAAAATCACATTTTTGCACATCATTGGTTTGTTTTCTATTGGAAATAGTTAAAACCTGGTTAGAATTATTAGCTTAAGATGACAGTTTAATGAGATGTGCATATTGACCTTAGCTGACCCCCAGGGGCTGTTGGGCAGGGCCAAAAATGGATCAAGTTGAATAAAATTTTATGAAACTTTCCCAGATATAGTAGAACCAAATACTTTTCATGGATGGAAGTTTCTTCAGGTGCCTCATAAGAATTGTAAATTTCATGACCCCATGGTTTCACATTTCCACAGGGAACTATATTGTATATAAGAAAATTACATTTTTGAGCATAATTTCTTTATTTTCTTTCAAAAATAATTCAAACTTGGTAAAAATTGTTTTTTTTTTATATTAGTATTTAAAGCTGACTGTTTGATGCGATGCACATATCGACGATGATTGACCCCCAGGGGCTGATGGGCGGGGCCAGAAATGGATCAAATTGATTGAAATTTCATAGATGTTCTACTCTTCCTGGAAGGAAGATTTTATTTAGGAAAATTCAAATCTGAGTGTAATTTCTTTTAATTCAAACTTACTTAGTTAGAAGCCTTATCGTGGGACAGCACGTAATAAATGCACAATTAACATCTGCATTGTGTACATAGTTAAAGCTATCAAAGTTTTTTTTATCAAAATCATTTCCTTGACAGGTTACAAGAAGTATGGTGACTCATGTGACCGTTAAGGCCTTGGCTCTCTTATCATACACATCTGCAGATAATTGTTGTATCGCCTTATGTGTTAGGTATATTAGGACTTGGTTTCATGATCGATTTTTACGTCTGGAAATTTTGTTTAATGTTTTATCAATAAAACCTTCTTAAGTTGTGGTTATGACTGTTTATTCTATAAAGATGGCTTAAAAGAATTCTTACGTACTAATAACTTGTCAGATGTCAGTTTTTGACAGAATCTTGCCCGAGAGAATCTCTGACGTACTGAACCTTAACACTACCAAAAGATGCGACCCAGCTTTTTTATTAAGAACTTTGATTATTTAAAAACTAAAAATAAAATTTACAACACATTATTCGACGTAAAATAATGCATTGATATTCAAAATCACCTAGCCCCTCCCTTCACTGACTGGAAATGCTTGGGCGAACACTGACATGAATTAAATAACACTTCTTCATTCCATGTGATAAAGAAGTTTTTATCTGCATTCAACTTCTAAAGAAAACTTGTCGTATTAGTTTTATTTAAACATATATCAAAAATTGAATGATTGCTTTTACTCCTCAGAAATGAAGCTGATGTCGGAAGAGGAATAAAAAATGGAGGTGTGAAGCGAGAGGATTTGTTTGTTGTCACAAAACTATGGGAAAATGGCTATGATCGATGCAAGAAAATATTCAACAAAAGTCTGAAAATGTAAGTTATACGGTATTTCACTAGGCACAGATATTATTCAATGACTGCACCACTCAGAAATGATTACAATGTCATACAGACTATGATGTTACTTCATAAATTGAAAATAAAACAAGATGACTGCCTCCATTTGAGTTTCTCGTACATATTTTTACTTTAAAACCTATCAAAATGTGACTTTTCTGAGTTTTGTGATGAAAAATATTTTGAATTTGCGTCCATTTTTTTATGTGACTTTATGAAACTCATTTTGAAGTTATCAATTTTTCCTCATCAATTCCGACTTAGGAAAATCAAATACTTCTCAGACATTTTTCACAAAATTTCATATAAAATGAAAGCTCATTTCAGACACTATGTATCATATAACTGAGAGAAAAATTATTTGTGTATATGATCATTAAAGTACAGTTGAACCCTATTGTCTCAAGGTTGGCGGGACCGTGTGAATTAGCCAATATGATACTCAGTTTAGGTTACCTGAGAAAAGTCTCAAGTGACCTATTGCAATCCCCTTTTGTCTACTGTTGTCTGTCGTATGTCGTCTGTTGTAAACATCTGACATTTTCAACTTCTTTTTAATAACCGAAACGTACAGATTGTTGATATTGGGCCTGTAGCATGCTGGGATGAAGGCCTATCAAGTTGTTAAAATTGATGACCTTGACTCACTTTAATGGTCAACTGGGTCAAATGTGTTGAAATCTTTAAACAACTTCTTCTCAATAATCAAAAGGCACGGAGAACTGATATTGGGCCTGTAGCATGCTAAAATAAAGGGCTACTACATTTGTTAAAATGAAATACCTTGACCCACATGCAAGGTCACAGGGGTCAAATGTATTGAAATCTTTAAACAACTATTTAACAATAATCAAAAGAGCCAGAGTGCTGATATTGGGCCTTAAGCATCCTGGGATGAAGTGCTACCAAGTTTTTTTCATGTTATTGACCTTTACCTTCTTTCAAGGACACAGGTGTCAAATATGTCAAAATCTTTAAATGGCCTCTCCTCAATAACGAAAGACCAAGAGTGCTGATATTGATCAGTAGCATGCTGCCATGAAGGGCTACCAAGTTGGTTCATATTTTTGAACTTGACCCACTTTCAAGGTCACAGATATCAAATATTTTAAAATATTTAAGCAATTTCTTTTCAATAACCAAAAGGCCCAGAGTGCTGTTATTGGACCTGTAGCATGATGGGATTATGGGCTGCCAAGCTTGTTGAAATGAATGAAATTGACCCATTTTCAAGGTCACAGGGGACAAATGTATTTTTTTAAAAAATGACTTCTTCACAATAACCAAATGGCTTAGGGTGCTGATAATGGACCTGTGGTATGCTGGTATGAAAGGTTAACAATTGTGTTGACGTTTTCTCTTTTTGAAGGTCACAGGGGTCAAATGTGTTAAAATCTTTAAACAACATTTTCTCAATACTAGAAAGGTCAAGGCTGTTGATTTTGGTTCTTCAATATAAGTGGCTTGTAAATTGGCATAAAAATATGTCCCTTATCACTGATTTAATTGCATTTTACATAATATAAAAATTTTCGTACAAATATGTTTTAATAAACTTCTTGTTCATATGAGATATTTGTTATCAAATAACAATCAACCTATTTATTTTTTCACTTAATAAATGTAGAAAAATAACATGGATCTTTTTACATGTTTTAGGTTAGACATAGGTTATGTCGACTTATACCTCATACATAGTCCATCTACGGGAAAGTGTGTAGAAACATACAAAGCCATGCTGGAACTTAAACAGGAAGGACTGGTCAGGTGAGAAATGGACATATTTATTCATTTGAAACTAACAATTATTCCTTTGTTTTCAGAGTTTGAAATTTGACAACAAAATACTGTAAAATCACTTTGTTTTATTTTGTGTTCATTTTGTTTATTTGCCTCAGTAAATTATCACAGTGTCACTTTCATAGATACCTTTCTTTTAATGAAAAATTGAGTACACTGTACTAAGCATTTACAGTTTTTTCCTGTGACTGATTTCAATATGGATGTAATTTATGAAAGTATGTAATTACCTACATCAAAATGTATATACGTGTATACCTGATTGACAGCTCATCCTTGAGCTCTTGTTTCAAATATGATTGTTTGTTTTCCTGAGAGGACAATAAAGGAGAGAAATGTTGTGCATGGTATTTGAAAACCACAAAAACCATGTTCATAGGATAATGAAATAAACAGATGAGAGAATTGATAAAGAAGCCTGACAGTTAGGGTGAAACCGATAGACAGACTACCTAATAAGAACCCAGCCTGTTGAGATTAACTTTGTCTGATTTAATACTAGACTGCTTACAGCAGTTATAAATAACTTCACCAACCTTTACTAGTACTTTAAATAAATGAATATTGAAAGGAAACAATTTTGATATCATCCTAAAAATCATTGTCCTAGTTAACAGTGCTATAGTTATTTGTTTTTAGCCAACCTGGTCGAAAGGGTGAGTAAGGTTATGCTGTGTTGCGTTGTCCGTCATCCAGCGTCCAGCATAAAAATTTTTCCTGTAAATAACTTCTCAATAACCAATGGACCAAATGTTTTGATATTGTTGGTATGTTTCTAGGATGAATCCTGACAAAGTTTATGAAAAGAAATTACCATGACCTTTATTCAATGTCATAGGGGTCAAATTTTGTCAAATCCTTTAAATGATTCCTTCTCATGAACTTAAAGGCATAGAGGCATGAGATTTGGCTGATATGTTCCAAGAATGAAGCTTGACAAAGTTTGGAAAAAGAAATGACCTTACATATGTTCAATGTCACAGGGGTCAAATTTTAAAAAAACATTTAGATAATTTTTTCTCCTGAACTAAAAGACAAAGAGGCATGATATTTGGCTAGTATATATATATATATATATATATACCAGGTGAGTACTGAAGGCCCATGGGACTTCATGTTTTTCAGATCTGTTGGCGTATCAAACTTTGGAGTCCATCATCTTGAACGCTTGAGAGAGGCAGGACTCCCAACCCCATCTGTCAATCAAATTGAGCTCCACCCATGGCAACAGAAGAAAGATATTGTGGAGTACTGCAGACAGAATGGAATAACTGTCATGGGCTACTCCCCATTAACCAAAGGACAGAAACTTTCAGACAAATCTGTATTAGAAATTGCTAAAAGGTAATAAAGAAGAAGAAAAAAAATGTCTAAAAGTCCAAGTCCAGGTTTGTGCTATTCATAAAACACTACCTCTCCTTAACAGCTGAGCTGATTACAACCAAATATGTGGGGCAATAACATTATAGATAATTGAAGGAGGAAATGTAATTAGCTACATGCCATCCTTTTAATTCAATGCCAATCAAATTTGTTCTGAAACATCAATTCAGAAAGACATTTATGAAATTTTCAGCCCCTTTGACTAGAGGGACATAAGTTCTGAAAAGGGACAAGTACTTTTTAACATAAAATTTCCCTTTAAAACAGGAATACTTGAATGGATTTTGTTCAAGTTTGGACTGAAACAAGAGACATGTCTTAGAGAAATGGAGTTGGTTCTCTAACATAGGACTTGGCCCAAAGACAAAATTAGGAAATATTTTCCAAAATAATACCTTTAAATACTCCAGTGGATTTTAATAAAATAGGGTAGGCCAATTAGTGATTTTTTTTGCTCAAAAAATTCTGTCTCCCCCAGTCAAAATTAGTGTTATATTCCCAAAATGAAGTAAAATTAAAGAATATTTTCACAATTTTTCTTAAAATCCTACTTTATTTTCCCAATTCAGTAAGGCAAAGGTGATCTCAGACAAATGATTTTTGGCCAACTTCTTTGGCAAAAGGGGAAGGAGGGATCATGAAGGGGGAAAATCGACAAAATTTTACACCTTTTACACTTGTCCCCTGTAATTACCTCAAGAGATTTGACTCTTTTCATTTCAACTAGGAATGGACTTTCATTGGAGAAGTGTAATCTTTCATTAAAGAGAGTTTCTTCAACAAATGCTGCCAGGAGTTACAGGGTTTTGCCCATTTGACTCAAAAGGGTCATATCAATGTCATTTATGTAATGTATTTTATCCCACTTATGGTTTTGACAAAACAAGCTTAGGATGAATCTGAACAAGCATTCAGTAGAAGGAATGCATTCTAAAACTTCCTCTATTGGGCCAAGTAGAACAATGTCAAGCTGTAACACATCATTTTCACCAACAAATTTACATTTCATAATACCTAGTCAACTAGTGTGACAAATATTGCATGAAACCTTCCTATATTTACACACATCTCTACACTGCTAGATCATCTCCCAACCATGTCAAATATGTATGTCTTTGTGAACTCAACTACCTCTTATCTAACATAATGTACAGGTAACCTTTAGATTTTCAATTACAGACACAACAAATCTCCAGCTCAGATTTTGATAAGGTGGTCTGTGGAACATGGCTTCATAACAATACCAAAATCCTCAGATCCAGGCCGGATAGAGCAGAACACAGACGTATTCTCCTGGAGCCTAGATCAGGACGCTCTTAAAATTTTGGTATGATACAATATGGTACAGATTGCATTCTGTATTTGGATGACTACTGATATCATAATGTGTTTAATTGCTTCTAATGTCTGTGGTTGTTGGGCCAAGTTCATCTTTTATAACAAGAAAATACAGACTTGTCAAAATAATCATAATCCAAACTAGATTTCAATAAAACTGCCAAAAAATATGAAGAAAAGATAGATTAATATGGAGACTCCTACAAAAATGTACACAGAGAATAAGACCAGGTGTTCTGGAAGAGTAAGCATCTCCTGCTTCATCGATCACACCTGCCAAGTAAATCATTTTTGATCCAACTATCTAATGTCATGTTCTCAAAAGAGAACAAGGTATACAACAATGGAACCAACAAACAAACTAATGAGCCTCAAATACATCCAGCTCCATATCTACAAAGAAATAGAATATTCTCAATGAGATCATTATGATGACAGTAAAACTTTCAAATAATTTTATCAACCTTCATCTTTTGAAATCCTTCATTATGAGTGTGTCAAACATTTGACAACTACTTGCACAAAAATCATGATTATAAGAACAGACCCTCGAATATCAATTAAGACAAAAAGTGTGATAAAATGTTCCATCTAGTAGTGGTCAGTCCATTCTCCATTACTGTGGATAATAAATTGGCTGATAAACATGGCGTATATGAAGATTTGTCAGTGACGTCATATATATATTTTCAAAACGGATGATAAATCGGCTGATAAACATGGCGTATATGAAGATTTGTCTATGATGTCATATATACCTCAAAGTATTAGAACATCAGTGACAAGTTCTACCACAACTTCATACTAGAGTGGACATTAGTCATGGTTAAAGACTCAAAAAGTCAACCCCTTGAATTTGAGTTGGAATTTGTAAATTGATGTATGTAGTAGGTTTTTTGAAGGGTGAATACAGTACTTATTCAAGGACATATACTAAACTTATACCAAATTATTTTTCGATCAATTCTTAAGAAATATCATTAAAACATTCCGAAAAAATTCAGAATGGCTTCTGCTGGAATGTGAAAGCTTATATTATCAGGGGTTTCGTTCACTAGCCTCTTGAATCAGGAGTTCCTATTAACTCCACCAGTGAAATACTGTTTAAAGGAACAACTGAGGGGCTGGTGAACACGATTAATGTTAATAGAATCCCCTTACTAATGAATCTTTATATGTTTCAGAATGGTATGCCTGACTGGTCATGTTCCTGGAATCCATGTATAACCCCATGGAGAGGATAAATTGAAATCTGGAATTTTGTTGGCATGATAGAGATAATTTGATTATAGCTGTTAAATTGACTTTAATGAATTTAAAGTGATTTCAACAGATGTTAAATGATAAAAAATTTAAAATAAAATCGTACAGAAGAAGACATTTCTATAATATTGATTTCTGATATCAGCTTTGATTGATAGGGTAATCTAGACATTGTATAATGAGTCAAAGATTTTTACAATTTATCAAGAAATGTCATGTACCAAAGAAATTGTAAGCATTCATTATTAACTCTAACTTTACATTATATCTGTTCGATGTCCATTTTTTACCAAGTCCTAAATGAAACAATGATTTCAGATTGATAATACAAAAATGTATATGATTACAAATAAATATTTGTTTAATCTAGAGATGTGTATTCTTTATTTATTTGTGTCATTAAAGTCTGATTAACCAGGGCTCACCCTGAACCAAAATTATCAGTCGCCAAAAAAATAGCCAAGTGTGATGATAACTGTTTGGTGGACTAAACAGCTTCATTATGAAGTAATTATAGTATAACATTTGAAATCTTTCAGCCACTTGGTGTAGAAAACGGAAGACTTCAACATAAGTTTAGTTTAGTTTAGTTTATTACCAGTGCAGGATCGTTACGATCCTCTAATACCGGTCTCAGTGATACAATGATAATGTTTATAATTATTGTCATTTGAGATGTCAGATTCAGGAACTACAGAATTTCTGCTTTATAATTATATACCAGTTCTTGATTTGCCCAGTGTTCATCAAATCTCTTTTTGAAAGAGTTAACTGTTGGTGGCGATAAATATACTCCGAAAGATTGTTCAATATTTTGACCACACGCAAAGCGAAAGAATGTTTCCTGATGTCAAGTTTACAGTGCTGCATGGAAAGTTTTTGGAGTGACCCCTTGTCAGCTGAATTTGAACTTTGTCGATCCACAATTTAAGGAAACCAGCAACGTTACTATCACAAAAACTGTTATTCATTTTGAAGACTTCAATGATAATCCCACGAAAATTGGAGAATCCAAATTCTATAAAACATAGAAAAATTGTTTCCGATATTACATTCAGATTCGAACACGGTATATTTGGTATTTTTTGCTTTAACTTCAATTATTCCCATTATCTGTGAACTTTCAATATTTGTTCTTATCAGAAGTTTGTCTAATTTGTTCCTTAGCTGATCGGCGTTGATGTATAAACACTTTAACTTTTTGACTATTTGCCGAGCCCATGGAGGTCCGCGAACCCTGAACATGTATTCCCCCGACGAGTTTTCTGTTTTTCGTTTGGCTTCATCTGTGAGTGCCTTTTCTGCCCTTCTTTCATTCTCCGTTAAATCATTACTAATATTGATGCCGTTAAATTCGGCCTTGTCCCGTAGATTGCTAATATTGCGGAATAGGTCCCGCTTTATTTGCTCGGATTCAAACACGACTAGCATGGGTCTGTTTGATGTTCAGCACTTTCTCTTTTTTTGTACTTTCCTAGTCTGGAGATTTCCATTTCCTCCAGTTCCAATTTGCATGCCGAGAATATTTTCCGTATTTTCTCATAATCCATTTTCTTCCTCTCTTGACCAGATGTGCCTGTTTGATCCGGAATACCGTAAACAACAATATTTCTCTCTGTTTTTCCTTTCCGATATTACGGACATAACAGTATCAAGTGTACGAGTCCTTTCCTTCTTCCCTTCCATTGTAGCTGTAACCCGGACATCCTCCTGACCAATCTCCTCCTTCACTATCTCGCGTACACTTTTTTCGTCATATTTGCTGACAAGACAACTTCTCTATTTCTGCGACTCGTTCCCTAAATTCCTTGAATGTTTCGTTGCATTTCTCTTCTATTGTACTGTCGACCGAAATGCTTTTTTCTACATTAGGCCGGCATTCTATACAAAACCACATGAAGTCGGTTTGACTTCAGATTTTGTATTCACTGTCCTTGGTTTTCAGGCATTTTATGCAAATCATTCTTTGCAACGTCCACATTCCAAGTGTTTCGAACTTATCGAAACTTCCGCTTTACACACAAAACATTCATCCCAATTATTATATACATCGTCACAATTCCAATTCATTTGGAAAGATGATTCATTTTCCTTGTACCTGCTTGTGCTGCCTTGTATGTCGCTCCTACTAGACGATCGCGTTGCCCGTGTTTTGCCTGTTGACTTCCTTGGTGACGTGTCGCCATGTTTGTTGTCTTTCTCCTTGATTTCGCCCTTTTTATCCTGATCTGTATCCTGTTCTTCTCTGGCTTAAGTAGCTCATGACACGAGCCAAATTGGGAAGAGTTGTCCCGATTTCCTTTACAACGAATTTTACACGCTGTCTACGCCATATATCAACAAGGAAGCATATTCTTCTTTTGATAAACTAGAATATTACATCAATGGAGTTATTCTAGGATAAAGTTGGAGAAGCCAAACTTCAGAGAAAAACAGCTACCCTCTGGAAATAAGAAGATATTTAACACTTCAATCTACTGGTGACACACAGAGAACAAGCTGCATTCACATTACAATTGTGTTTTTCCAGCTCATTAGCTGCAAAAGGTGTAGGAATTAATATTAACAACCTGAGGTTACCAGTTTTATAAAAAAAAATTGATATTAAAAATGAAAACAATCAGGTATTGCACTGCTTTAGGTTGGCATTCACCGAAATTATAAATGATGGATTGTAAATGCAAATTTGATTTGCTCTTTCCAGTTGGCATTCATATATCCTGTGAATGCCAACTGAAATCAGTTCAATGCTTACATTGTAGATAGATATGATGTACTGTAAATGTTATCAATTTGAAAAACAAAAATGTGTTAAGAGAGAAAGCAACAAGTGATAAGTGTATCATTTTTGCTTCAGGTTTTTATCTAATTTGATTCCTAGAATCTGCAGTACCCAAAACAACAATTTGTGACAATAGATGCTTGACAAACTCTATACACAAAATGCAAGTATATGATTAAAGACTGGAACTAGAAGAATGAATTTTTTTAGAAAGAATTAACAGGGAGTTTTTATAACTAAAATCTAAGGACAGATGAACCTGTAACATATTACTGTTATGTGGCTCAACAAGGGAAGACTGCTAGAAGAATATGCTCAGGAAACTTTTATGTTTCCATAATAGATATTATTCTTTCCAGTAGGTACCAGGTTGAATGATATAATTTTGTGTCTTTTGCTGAAGCAGGATTTACTTTAAGAGACTGTAAAATGTTAAATTCAGACCAAGGTCATTCATTTTAATAATATGAAAGTCCTTTATTCCAAACTGCTGCCAGTAAAAGCCTTTTGCTTCTTAAGATGAGTTATTTGAATATTTCATCTCATTGGACTCATGATCATGAAAGTGCATCAAGGTCAAGTATGTGAAACAACTTGAAAGCCCTTCATCCAAGCATGATACTTTCCAAATTATATAACCCTGACTTGTTTTGGTTGTTGATTGGGAACCTCTTAAATATTACACCATGTTTGACCACATGACTTTGAAAATTGGGTCAATGTTACTTAGATGAACAAACTTGAAAGCCAATCACCCCAGCATACTACTCACAATTCCATTATCTTGACTTCTTATCTAGGTTATCTAACCTGAGGGGCCAAGATGACCTGGAGTCATCAAGTTTCTTCCTGGTTGTGCACCGTGCGTAAACTTTCCATTCGAATGACCTCTTCCCCTAACCAAAAGGCAAGGTCACTGAGATCGACTGACTGCTAATCGTTAAACAAAATCATTTTACACAAGACATTTCACATTAAGCAATAAACATGTTGTACTGACTTTCCATGGTATTTGTTTTGAAGAACATCAACAGAAAAGGTTTACCACTACCCGCAGAATATTGGTGTCTACCTCCATGGCCGCTGTACAATATGTCATATTTTATGACCCAGGGAACTCACCATGTCCACTACAGAACAGGATCCTGCAGTTCTTCCATGCATTTAATATTAATATAATGTTTCCCACACTTTAATACACCACAACCATGGGTCGAATGCTGCAGCTTCTATGAAGATTGTTTGTCTTTGTGAAATTTCACCTTTTTTACACACGGTTCATTGAAATTGGTATTCATTACAACAACCCTCTTTTCCAAACTACCATCAGTAAGTTTATAACTCCAATTATTTACTGCCACGCTTTGAGTGACAATTTACTCTGAGGCCCTGTATAGAACTAATGGTCTCCCAGTTCCTACAGTCATTGTTGAGAGAACCATTTGACCTTGTAGGGTATCTGGAGATGTGCACGACCATCGCCACTATGATATGGTTATTGGCTGTAACACATCTACTCCTGGGTTCTTTCTTGGTTCCAAATCTTCGTGTTTCGTGTTAGTTGTCCTGATACCAGCTTCGTGTTGTTGTTTTGTCTGTCACAGACCCAGGGAGTGTTTGGCACAGGTATAGGGAAAAGAGTGTTGTCTGTAATAGCAGTTTTTTTTACCTCATCTAATATTTTTTTTCTGGCGTAGGAGTGTGTCGCCTTGACAACTGGTCCAAGGAGTGGCCATCAGGACAAATATACCCTATTTTACATAATAATTTCGTCTTGTCTATGAAAATTGGTCATTTGCAGTAGTTTACAAGCAGACATTGTCTTTTTCTCCTCTTGTTCATGCTACATGTCTATTACCTGTCCTGTTCAGTTGAAGATTGACTTTCACCGGAAGTATCCCCATTTTCTAACCAGTTGTAGCAATTCCTATTGTTTCATATTGATAACCAAGCACAGATCTTAAGGGAGAAAGGATTTCACATCAATCGTATCGTAGATTTCTATGCAAGAACTACACTAGATTATTCAAAATTACAGATATTTTCTTCAATAAGTGTATCAGCTAAAATGATGCATTTCCAAACTTTACCAGCTTATGGCGTTCAACTCTGTCAATGAATTTTTAATATCTGCTATCTTTTTCGGTGTTGCCGTGATGTAAATTGTCCTACAGCTGTCGTCATAATTTAAAATCTGTCCTAGAAATGTTGCCGTGCTAAAAGTTGTCCTACACGTGTAGCAGTGATATAG